GTGTGTGTGTGTGTGTGTGTGTGTGTGTGTGTGTGTGTGTGTGTGTGAAGACTCTTCAACATGTTCAAAATAGCCGAAATCGTACAACGTGTTTTCTGTGACCACAAAATAGAAGCCAGTAACAGTGGCTTCTGGAAAAACTGGAATTTACTGAAAATTAAACAATGTGCTTTTAAATAACCTAGGGACAAGGAACACGAAGTGACAAGAGAAAGTAGGAGAGTTTGGGTGAAAAGGAAGAAGAAAGTCCAATTAAGAAAAATCTGAACATTTAAAATGCAGAATTCATAAAAAAAAACAATAGTTAGCAAATACATGTGAAACTATCATGTGGCATTGAGGGGAGAGGGAGAGTAGAAAGGGAGAGAAGGAAGAGAAGAGAGAGAGCGAGACAGACAGCGACACAGAGAGAAACGGGGGGGGGCTGCCAGAATGTGGAGGGTGTGTGGTGTGGAGTGGGGGCCTCAATGGTGGTGGGCATAGAAGTTGCTAGAGGACTGTGGGGAATGTGACACAGAAGCAAACACGCTCTTAGCAAACAGTATCAGCAGTTACACTTCCCGGTTTTTATTCAAAGTTTTGATACCAAAACTTATCCACAGTGTTTATGCCAGCTTAGTTTATAATGAACCAAACTGGAAGCTTCAAGAAAAATTGATAAGCACACTAAAATACAGGTGTGGTGGTACATGCTTGTAATTCCAACAGAAGGAATGCAAACCCTAACTTAAATGCATTAATATTGGCCCATGAAATATTCATTACTATTTGCATTGATGTAATTTCAAAAACAATATAAACTGGACTAAGGGGAGAAGGAAGTTTAGGGGAATATTGTCTTTTTTCATCTGTAAAAATTGGACTAAAATCTATTCTTTACAGAACTTGTGATATGTAATTAAAGCAATATTTATAGAAAATGATATAAAATAGAGTGGGTATATGCCAAAACATTTTAAATGAAGAACATAAGCTTTAACCTTAACAAACAAAAAATGAGAGAAAAATTTATAATCGGCAAGCAGAATGTAGCAACATATATAAAAATATATCACAGGCAGATAGGCTGTACTAGCAACAAACAATTAATTTGACATTGAACTATTAAATTAATGTAGATGTGAATGAAACAGAGCAGGGATCACAGAAACACACTGACATGTGCTTTTCAACAACTATGACAATATGCTGGAGAGGAATTTAAAGATGATGCTGAGAACTTTACGTACAACACAGATCATGTGAAAATTCATGTGCAAACTTAAACCATTATAAAAACCAACTCAGAATACGTAATGTCTAAAATGTAAAACCTCAAGCCATAAAACGTAAAAAATAAAAAGAAAATTAAAAAAATCTCACTATATATATATATATATATATTCTTTTTTGTCATCATTTATTACAATTTATTCAATTTGTATCCTGGTTATGGCCCCCTCCATTGTCTCCTCCCAATCCCACCATCCCTCCCTCTTCTCTCCCGATGGCCCTCCCCTAGTCCACTGATAGGGGAGTTCCTCCTCCTCTACTATTTGACCCTAGCCTATCAGGTCTCATCAGGACTGTTTGCATTGTCTTCCTCTGTGGCCTGGAAAGGCTGCATTCCCCCTAGGGGGAGGGGGTGATCAGAGAGCCTGCCACTGAGTTCATGTCAGAGAAAGTTCCTGCTCCCTTTACTAGGGAACCCACTTGGAGACTGAGTCAATGGGCTACATCTGAGTTTGGGTTTTAGGTCCTCTCCATGCGTCATCCAAAGACAACGACCCTAACCACCTTGGTTAGGGTATCATTCTCTTCAGGACCCCCAGGGCTCAGTGTTTTTGGCTCTGTTGGTCTCCTTTTGGAGCTCCTGTCCCCTCCAGGTCTATCTCCCATTCTTTCATAAAATTCCTTGCACTCTGCCGAAAGATTGGCTATGAGTCTCAACCTCTGCTTCTGTACCTCAATCAGTAGAATCTTTCAGAGGCCCTCTGTGGTAGGCTCCTGACCTATTGTCTGTCTTTTCATGCTTCCAATGTCTATCACATTTGTTCTTTTGGATTAGGATTGAGTATCTTCCATAGGGTTTTCCTTCTTGTTTAGCTTCTTTAGGAGTATTTTAGTATGTTTAGATTTTAGTATGTTTAGTATGTTGAGATTTCAGTATGTATATCCTATGTTATATGTCTAATAACCATTTATAAGTATATATAGCATGTGTGTCTTTCTCTGCTTCTGGGTTACCTCACTCAAGATGATCTTTTCTAGTTCCCACCATTTGCCTGCAAATTTCATTATTTCCTTGTTTTTAATTGGTGAGTGTATCCATCCCTCGGTTGAGAGACATCTAGATTGTTTCCAGCTTCTATTTGTTGTTGTTTTGATTTTTTTTTTTTTTTTTTTTTGAGACACAGTTTCTCTGGCTTGATTGGAATTTGCGGAATTTGCTCTGTAGACTGGGCTGGCCTTGAACTCAGAGATCAACCTGACTCTGCTTCTCCATTGATGGGATTAAAGATGTGTGCCACCATTGTTGGGCAAAATTCTTAAATATATTATCAATAGTAGAAACAAAAATGATAAATTGTAATATATTGAAGTTGAAACTTGAATTTTCTTTTTTTTGATAAATAAAAAGATAAGCTACAGGCTAAACAAAGACATTCTTCAAACACGTATTTCACCAAAGGCTTATATCTAGGATATTAGGGACTTCTAAAAATTCAATAACTAGAAAATATCTCTATTAGTTCATGAAAGATTCAAACAATTCAATGGTGCCTTTTGTCACAGGGAAATATACACATCACATAAGCACATGAAAAGTTGCTTGCCACTATTAAAAATCATTGGAAAAACAAATTAGCACTCTACTAGGATACCATGGCACATCTATCACATTGACATCATCAAATGCAAATAAAAACAAAACTCCCACAATGTCAAGTGTCCACAAGCAGCTGAACACTGAGGTTTTCATCTGGGTCTCATTTATGTGATCACTGCAACAACACTCTATAGTAATGATGCTGAGAAAGGCATTTGCTAAAAAAAAAAAAAAAAAGCACATGACTTAGGCATCCCAATCCTGGAGTTCATCTACCACCAGCAAATGTCTGCAAATCCACTGATATTTGAGAAGTTATAACTTATATCATTAATTCCCAATCTGGAAACGTTCCAGAGATAATAAGTGATCAGACAAATTGTATACAGAAGATACTGCCTAGCATCTAAAGGGAAGAAATGATACATCCAATGTGAATCAATCTTCAAAGCACTGTCAGAAATGAAAATCAACCCGAGCAGAGCATGGTAGCACACTGAGGAGACAGAGGCAGGCAGATCTCTCATTTCAGCCTCATCTACACAGCGAGTTCTGGGACAACGAGGACTACAGGGAGAAATCTTGTTTCAAAAAAAAACAAAACAAAACAAAC